ATTAAAAAAATAAATAATCTACATGCTTTGCATAATTTTTCTTTGAGGTATGCGTTTGTCTTTGACACCAATGCGGATCAGCATTGCACCCACATGCCTTTGCACCTTTACAATTTTTCTTACCAACTCCTTAGATTATGGAAGAAAATATTTATATTTTGTGCTATGAGGGTACAGACTACCATTGTCAATTCTGTTTTTCCATGAGACTACCATTGTCAATTCTGTTTGTTTTTTCAAAACTCTCTCCTTAACAGCCATTTATCATGAATGTAGAAAAGAGGTTAAAATTTGTTGCCTATGAATGTATGAATGTTGAGTGAAAGTACCATATCAAGCATTCATAACCTCATTTTTAAACATTAAAATACACTATATTCAGCATAAAATACAGTTTACATTAGAAAATTCAGTTTTCATGAATTGGAAACAAAAATGATGGCCTCTGAAACTGTGACAGTACAGAGCAACAGCTAGAGAGCCATAATTGAAGTGCAACAGGGAGCACTAGTCTGTGGGATGGTTTCTGAAAACTGCTGAGCTGCAAAAATTGCTGAGTACAGAGAATGCTATCTTGTTAAAAAGGCCTAGTAATTAAAACAGAGAAAGAACCACCTTTCTTTGCACTTTCCTTTTTTTGTTCTAAGGCTTTCAAGCTAATTGTTCTGGCAGTGCAAAGCTGCCATTCTTTGGTGTCTAGGAAGGTGGTGCTAAACTACAAATTATGGAAAAAGCTGTGGGAGCTGCACTCCCTGCAGATAAAGGACTTACTGATGGTTCTTGCCATTTCTTAAAATCCAGAAAGACCATAGAAACAATGCTATAGGAAGTAAAAAAAAAAGGTGAATAGACTTAGGATACTATTGTTTTTTATCTCCTGATGAATTTCCCGGTTCAGTATTAGAAAAGCTCAATCCTTTCTGCAGCATCTCCTTATTTTCTTTGTGAGAATCAAGATGTGCTTTCAACTTCGTGGCTTTTAGGCTGTTTATACTGTAGAGCTATATATGTGCTCCCACTCACAGCACGCAGTGCTGCGGCTGCTGTTTGCATCATAAAAAATCTGCATCCAGCTCAGAGAAATATATTTTATTCTTCATATGCACAAAGAATTTCATACTGTCCTCAAGTGATGGGTTTTGTTCTGCTATGCATAAAATTCATTGGTTTGCTGTTTTTTAACCTGAGTTTAAAAGTGAGCTTCTGGTCACGTTCTTTTTCAAGTCCGAAGCCTTTTTCACTAAAGCCAGAGATTAATTGCAGTTCAGGTGCAGGGATGTCCAGGAATACCAGGCTTGGGCTACTGGGCACTTTGACCCTTCATTATCAGTGCTAATATCAGTTTCTTGTGAAACTTCCTATACAATAATAGATTTTTTTGAGGAATGGCCTGAAAGTTTAATAGTGTTTGTTTCCTTAATGTTGTAACATATTATCAAACAACTTCTTTACTCATCACTTTAATAGACAGAAGTGATGAGATCTTCATCCTGGAAAAATGGTTTCAAATACTGACTTGAAATGTGTTTAGAAATCAAGGATTTCTGAAAATGGATCCCCCTGGATTCCTCGAACTCATTGTTTTGTTCTGAGGGCTCCTGCTCACCTGCCCAGGCTGTCTGCAGCTTCAGTTCCTTACCTGATTCTCACAACATTTGGGTCAGGTGATTATTACAGCAAAAAGAAAGACAAAAATACTCACTCCTGGTCCACAGAAGAGAAGGGTGATAGAATTTATCATAGAATCAGTATTTTCTGAGTGCCAGCTCTGTCACCCATTTGTGTGATGAAAACAATAATCTGTATCATTACTAACACGTCCTTATTTCTATTAAGTAAATTATTTCAGTGTGAAAGTGTGATTTGCACATAACCGTGTATGAAGCAGTGGTAATGTCCAGGCAGTTCCAAAAATACCCATGTTATTTCTTGTCTTTAAAATCCCAGTGAGATCTGCATGGAGTTGCTAAAGAAAGAATGGCCTGAGGGACATGTGTGGTATGCAGAGGTCTAAAAGACCAGCCTGCAGTTGGCCTCCAGCAAACAGCTTCTCGTTCCCTGAGAAGAGATGAATTAGAGACAAGAATCATCCCCGGGGCGCCAAGACTGAGAAGAATGTATTTTTAGAAAGCCATCAGATGTCTGCCATTTGAAAGCTGGAGACTCCCACGAGCAGGACACCAGCTGGCACAGCAGCAGAACCCTTTATAAAAGTTATCACAATGACCTCAGCAGGGATATTTATGTGCTGGTCCTGAACTCTGTGACAAGGGACAGCAATGTAACCACATCCAGTTGGGCATATAGCAGAGTATTTAATGCTTTCACACAGCAAGATTGCTCACTGGTTTGAGCATTACCTAGTAATGCTCATAGAAGTGTGCTAATCTAAAAACATTGATTTCAATCCATGGAATACATACTGTTTTCTTGATGTTTCATTTTTTAGACTTTCATAAGACTTTCATAAGTTTTCCCTTGAATTTGTGTATGCATTGATATTTACATTGTGGTGGATAGTTATTTTGGAGACATTATGCAGGAATACTTTGTTTAGGAAGCACAGAGCTTGTCCTCCATGAAAAGGAAGTCTCTGTGTCACATCCCTTGTGTGAGTAGTACAGCATGATGGCTACGGGCTGTGGGTAAATGGGGCTGACTGTGACATTGATGGTTGCCTTAGGATTAATACTACCCACATGAAAAATGCATGTTTTTTACAAAAGCACAGAAGCCATGTTCACATACTTCCACTTCTAATTCCATCCCAAAGGCTGACAACCACCAGCAAAGCAGGACTACTTTACTGGCCTTCACCATTATAATGCAGGATGGCTTATCAAGAAGAACTGTCATCGTGATTCACTCAATACAGAAGAGATTAGAATTGACTGGCTCTAATCTTAGCACAAGTCACATCCTTTTGCTTATCTGATTTCATAATTCACCTTGAAGTATTTGCCACTGAGCATTTTCTGGAGCTTTTGTACCTGCCAGCCACCGAAAGTTTGGATGGGGTACTGGATATCAGTTAAAAATTCAGGTGTCAATCAGACCCACCACCCAGAATTCAAGACTTGTTTGTTCCGTGTGGCTTATGAGACTCACAGTGCTCTCAGGAACATCCGTGGAGACCAGCTCTGCAACATGACTTGGTCAGTAATGGGAGGTGTCTGTTTTGGAATGGCCCTAGAACCTGGTTTATTTTGATGTAACCTGAAAAGCGTTCAAGATGAAGTCAGGAATATAAATATATACATATATGTAGATAGGTATTATTTTGTCTACATAATATATATTCTGTAACATATATGCTCTACATTATATATTTATAGTGGTTTTATGCATAGGTCTATATATGTATAAAGGGCAATGAATCTGGTGAAGGGTCTAGAAAACGTCTTAAAATGAGAAGCTGAGGGAGGTTAGCTTTTATTCTGCTAAATTAAATACAGGTAAAGGAGAGACATGCAGACATAGAAGTTAAACACAGTATTTTGAAGGAAAAGAGAAATATATGCAGAGGCTGGAAGGACTCCCCCCCAAAATGTGTTAAAAGATAAATTAAAGGAAAATAAGTGTGGAAAATACAAAAAAAATAGCACAGCAGGACATTTTTCATGGATGTTTTCTGGGAAAAATAGTTGTGACTTACTATGAGGCTTTTATGCTCAAGGCAGTTGCTAGTAAGTTGCTGTTTTAAATCTTAAGATATCTCAGTTATTTCTCTCCACCACTATTATCCCTACATCAGTGTCAGACTGCTGAATGTGGTGGCTTTTCAGCCACACAGAGGAGGGCAGGGCATCTGTACCTCACCAGGTATCACACCAAAAAGCAACTGCTGGCATTTTGCAAAATTTTGTCTCTATTTTATTAAAACACAGGATAATGCATGGTCCCAGACAGTGTACAAAATAGCAATTCACTTCCAGCTCCTCTATGGAGGTTGTAGCACTAATGAAGCAAATCACATCACAGGGAATATAGCCATGATTTAGTACATGTATAACTGTAACAAAATGTTGTTATGGCTGAGATTGTTATGTTTTTAATGAAAAAAAGAATTAGGATTGAAATTGAAAAACAACCCAGTTCCTATAAAAGGTAAAAATGTACTTGGATAAAAGGTTAATAGAGTTAATTGTGGGCAGTAATACAAGACAGCAACTCATGCTAGAGGAGATAATTGTGATTCTGATAAAGGAGAATTGTAATTAAATAGAGCTTGGATAAACACGATTATCCTGAAAAGGTTTCCCATCACACTACCGGGAGGTTTTAAGATGTGGAGGCAGACACCTGTACGTGATCTGGAAGTAGAGACACCACTGCTGCCAGCCCTGCTGGGTGCTCACCACTGCGGCACACTGCCCACACTGCTGCTCTGGCCAGCAAAAGGCAATAAATTGAGCTCATTTTGAAGTTTAGGTCACCTGCAACACTAACTGACAAGTGAGCTCCTTGTCTTGCTTACAACCCCCAAGATTTCTCATTTCTGCTGGTCCCCATCCTGCTGTGGGGAGAGCAGCTCTGGGTGCTGGCCAAGGTTGATCTGCCCGGGATGGCTGTGGGCTGGAGCAGGTGGGGGCATCCCTCCCATACTATGCTTCTTCCAGAACTGATAGGATTTTTTTACACAGATATCCAAATGAAATGCAGTAGTTTGACACTGAAACCTGAGAGGCAAACAGAGGCTTTCCACACTGATCTGTTTTACTGAAATGGGTATGTGTGCTTAATATTCTTATTTGCTGAGTAACAAATACTCCACAACGACCTGTACAAGATAAAGTGAATCAAATACACCACATTCCTCACAGGACAACCAGAAGAATTACAAAATGCTTTTGTGTTTTTGTTTAATTTCCTTTAAATTGCAAAACATTTTTACTATATTTTCAAATTTTAACTATTTTTTATTATATAAAATATATATATTATATATATATAAATATATAAATATACTGAATTTGAATACAGGATGGTATTAATTCACATTTCTCTATAATTCCTATGGATTATTTTACATAACACATACAGAATAAAACACCCTCAGAATTTACTATCAAATACTTCTGTTCAATTATTTATAGTACTGTTTGGAACCACTGTATATTGTAACGATATACATTCCCAGATGCTTAAGGAAAATTTCTACTGGAGTTCTATTATTCCCTATTTGGAGCAAGTGAATGCCTCACTAGGGACCAAGCCTCTTTTCCCTTCTCAAAAAAAAAAAAAGAGGGAGATCTTTTGCTTTCAAGTTTTTGTTTTTCCAGTGCCAACTGTATTCCAGATCTTCAAGCAGACTTCAGAACCCCATATACAGAGACCAGTTAAGAACCCTTACTGTCACCTTTAAGCTTGCCCCTTCAAACCTTTTTTCCTTTAAATTTTCTCCCCAGCCTCTGTGCTTGCCTTATGTATTTCTGTCAGTTTACAAGCTGCAGTTAACCCTAAAAGTGGGCTTGGACTCAAAGTGTATCCTCAGTGTTTTTTGAGCATAATCTGCAACACATTAGGTTGCTGACAATATACATATTGGAATAATCCCGTAAGTATTAGGGTGGATAGCATCTGTTGTGATAGTGAATGAGACTGAGAGCAAAGTGAACTGAAATTACTTGTGGAAACTCCCAGCACATTTTCTTTGGGTTTTCATCTCTGCAGCTGGCATGTGATACAGTAATTGTCTTACTCACATTCCTGTCTTCTCTGCTTGTTAAGTGAGTTTGCTGAAGTTTCTTGTATCAGACATGCATTTATCTTGAATTCAGTGCAGGAAATATTTAGATATCATAATTATTTTTAAACTCAGACATGCACAACAACACCTTTGCTTCCCAGTCTACAACTACTTTTTCTTTGCAAGAGCTTCTGTTTATTGAAGATTATTGAAAGACTAATTTTTTTTATTATTATTTTTTTTTATATATATTTTAAAGTTTCTGCGGAGTTAATTTCCTGGAGGGATATTTCTTTTTGTCACTATATAGCAAGTATACACAGGACCTAGAATCAAACACAGCTCATAGAGATGACACAGGAACATTATTCCCACAAACCACCTCTAAGGATAATGGCTGCCTATGCTGCATCCACAGGTTTTGGCATCCACTAAATGAATGTAGAGATGGGAAAGTTAAGACCAAGTTGTACACCTATGTAAAACACGTTTTGAACAGCCTGCCACACAGTGCTTCTGGAAAAACAACCTTTCACTGGTGAATGATGTATTTTCATTTCCTAAAGGAGAGAGGGGTTTTGAGAATATATATATTTATTAATTCTGCAACAATCAAAACTGAATTTTGGAAAATGTGTTTAATTTCTCTGAAAATGTTATTCCTTTGGCTCTGACTTGCTATCAATGATTTTTTTCCCCAATGTTGTAGTAACAATAACATGGCACTTTTACTTCAAAAAGTAACTGCCAATATGCTGTAATTTTGTCTTTTCCCAAGAGAAAAAGAAGCAAAAGCTTTAAAATGGAAACCGTGAAATGGTTACTTCTTGTGTTTACTGACAACCAAAGGTGAACCCTTCAGTATTTTGCAGTCTCCCCAGCATAACATCCTGCAATGAGAGGATGGAACCCTGAGCTCCTTGCCATGGAGAAGGATCTCTGCGTGACTTACTGGCAGTGCAATGATCCAACGAAGGAGGGGCAGCCTCATAAGGAAAATTGAGGCTAACACTCTTCAGAATTACAAAAGGGGTATTCTAAAACATTATGTTTAAACTCAGTAAATGCAGATGTTCCCCTCCAGTGCAAACTACTTCACAAGTAATACTTCACAAGAGACCAATGTTCTCTATTCCAGATGTTTTTCAACTAATCTTCACCTAATTTTGATTAAGGTGCCTCCATATATGTTTGCATGAAACAGAATTTATGAAAATTTTCTAAGCATGGGTACCAGCCTGGTCCATAAAGACCATGAGAACTTCAGCCTCAGGAAGAATATGGAAAGAAATAATCAGCTCCCATAAGACTTCTGTTAGCAAAATATGTTTAGCATTTTTTTTTCTGCAGACAACCTATATTCCTATAAAGCTTTAAGACTCCTGAAGTTTCAAGGGACTCAAATAATCTTGCTAGGTGATAGGTATCTAGCTACTGCAAAGTTGATAAATCAAGCCATAGGGTTTTTTTTCTTCATTGAAGAGGTGTTCAGAGAAAAAAGGATTCCAAAAAGCTTTCCTCCAGTGAGATTGGAAAGCATTTGAGCCTTGTATTTCTCATTTGTTCAAATTAACAACACTAATACATCTAAGGTCAGATAAAAGTGGATTTCTTCTGCTACTTTTTTGTCTTCATTTTATCAAGCATATTCTCAGCTTTTTCACAACACAGGAGAAGTGATGTCCTTCGCAGCTGTGTCCCCCACTCATGAAATATACAGAAGCACCCTGGTAAATCTGCTTAGCTAGCAAGTTGATGCAGACAGCAAAAGAAAATAATGCTGAGCACTTTACAGACGAAAGACATACCCTGACGAACACCTCATGTGTGTTTATAACATGTAGATGCAGACAAGGTGGAAAGAGAGAAGTTTAAATGGAATATTGTGGTTTTCAAAACATTTTGAAGGTATGTCCAACCCAAATCCCCCCTGACACAGCTTGAGGCCATGTCCTCTTGTTCTGTCAGTAGCTGCCTGGGAGAAAAGGCCAATCCCCACCTTGTGACAACCATGCAGAGCAGCATGGCAAACACTGGAATGAGCAGATGGCAGTGGTATTCTGTTTGCTGGTAATTTATTTAGAAGACACCAATATTCAAGTCTTTATCTTTAGTTGTCTGTCATGGGTGTGTGCCTCCACCATTCCTACCTTTACATGCTCTTTTGCATAACTAACATTCTTATTTTACCTTCTTACCTACAAATGTATCCAAAATGAAAACAGTAGAGTTCTGTCTACAGTTAAACTACCCCTTTCTTTATGCAATGGTAGTGCGAAATCCAAACCAAGAAAGACAAAAAACTCCTCATCCAAACCCAAAACCTTGGAAAATCTGGGCATTGGGTGTGCAGAACTATTGCCCATGATTAAACTGTTTATTAGGAGGCATTATTTTCCCATGTCAAGAATATCTGCCATGATAGTTCTGCTATATTTCATTGGTTTCACTTTAAATCCTGTATCTGTTATTATCAAAAGTCCTTAGTGGAGGCCCTGAGAGGCTACTTCCGGTAACACAGCCCTGAAGCTGCAAGACACAATTGGCAACACCACACAATTCTTGTGTAGACTGTCTGCAACAACATTATCCAATGTGAGATAAGGCAGCAGCTTTCATCATCGGCTATCTGTTGTCCTCTATGACAATGGTTCTTCTCGGATAGGTCTCAACATCCACAAAAATGTAGCGAACCTCAAATCTTCCTGTTTCAAGATTCTGGAAAGAAAAATTTCAGAGTGTTTTTTTTCTCTTTTGTAATTTAAATTCAAGACTAAGCTCGTCAGGTGTACCAAGCAATTGTACATACCTCTTTGACTTCCACATGGACTGTTCCCTGTTTCCCCGATTCAGTGCCCTCAATATAAAACTTCAAACGCAGATGTTTCAGTCCATCCTTTACGTATTCAATGTGACTAAAAACAGCAAAACAAAACAAAAACCCAACCACCCAGCAAGAATACAGATTATATGCTATTTAAGACTTCAAATTTAAACTTACTTAGAGGAGTTGCTTACTTATTTTGTAAGAAAGTGTATTCCGGTGGTGTCCTTATGCTACCTTGGGTTCCTTCTCTACTGCTTCTCTCAAGCTTTACTGTGAGTGCCTAAGGACTAGTGGAGTTAGAAGAGCTAATTAGCTGCTGAGGATTAAGAAATGAAATGCTTAAATGTCCTCACCCCAGTCCTCCCCTCAAAACTGAAAATCAATCCAATGCTGAAGACCATGCAACTTCCTTGTATTTATTCTAAAGAAGCCCCAGATTGGGAGCCTGACATCTAGATGATGACCCCACATCACCAAGTTGTTCTTCCAGATTTTTTTAGGCACTTAAACTAAGTTATCAAACCAAAACACACACAGCATGTTTTTTTTCAAATTAATTATCAGGTTGGTTAAACCACATCAAAGCAACCAGTTTACTATGTGTTTTACTTACTTTGGCAATAATTTTGTTCTGCTGAAATTGTGTAATTTTGGCACTGATATGAGATCTCCAACCTAAATGCTGGTATTTAGACTGGAGTTGAGTTATGCTCAAATATTAAATAAATAGCACATAACTTTCAAAGTGACCACTTTGGGAAACCAATAATCCCATGAGAGTTCTGGTGCCAGTTTGTTTCCTGCTGAAATTATTAACTGCTGTTTAGCACCAATCTCTTACTTCCGTCAGTCATGCCCAGGTACACACTGTGAAATAAATTTCCAATACAGTTTAAAGTGACACGATGGGGTAGAGAGAATAAATATGAATAGTCTTACTGCAGTAAATTTATATTCAAGGTGTTCATACACAAAAAAAACCCTGTAGATTTCGAGACATTTAAGATCATTCTTATACTGCAGATGCAAAGCCTACAATCTTACACAGTTCTTAGCTCAAAAAATTAATTTGAAATACTAGGCATTCAAAATGATGGAAATTAAATACTAGGAAAGCTGTTTCATAGTACATTTACTTATTTACAGACAGGTGCTCAAAATGTTTGTGCACATCTATTTCATTTAGCAGCTTCACTTTAAACATTTTTTGAAAGAGTCTGGTGAAGAGATAAAGTTTCAACCAATAAAAGCCACTTTCCTCAGACAAAATAAAAAATCTCCATTTCTTGGTTCAACCTGTGCCTGGGCTTATGTTTCATCCCTTATGAAACCTCACTGAACGTGTTCCTGTCAAATAACCCAATAAAGGCAAAGCAGGGAGGACTTACATTTTGTAAGAAATAGTTCTGTTGTTTCTTTCAAAAGGAAATAAATAGACACACTCATGAAAGGCTTAGGTGATGTTCTGTTAAATACTCAGTAGAGATGTTGCCTCAAGTACCAAAAGGCATTCTGCATACCAGCTCCATATAGTCTCAAACTGTAAACTTCTGTCAGATTACTGCTCCCCCCCAATCAAGCCTAGGCCTTTGTACTACTCTTTTCAGACTCGTACTATTTTTTGGAGAGCTCTATGTCTACCATAATGAATATTACTTGCTTTGAGGCACTCAGAACTCGCATTTTATATTGTATGAACACTGTATTAGAGGTATATGGCACACAAGAGGTCCTGCAAAAAACTTCTGTGTTCATTCAAAAGTGACAGGATAGGTCACATTCAGTTCATCACTCTAGAACTAACTTGTGATCCAAAAATATCTTTGCTATGCAAAAACAGATGTTGTATGGGGCAAACACCAACAGGTACCTGACATGCTGTCGTCTGCCTCTTCTTGTTGCCTCTCCATAACCTTTGACTGAGTCACCAAAAACAGCAATTACCTACAAGAGAAAAGAGGTTTGAGCTGTCAGAAGGAATCACATACAAACAGATATTCCAGTATCAGCTCACGCCTCTGCTGTGAATGCATCTTCTTTCAACAAAATGCTCCTGGAGAATCTAACATGTCATGAATCAAGTGTTTATGAAAGAAAACAGTTTAAGAAAAACTCCTCTGTATTTACAGTCCTTTATTAAACATTTAAAATAAATCCTATTGATATCTTTCATTTTTATTGTTCTCTGAGATGAAGACATGGAAACTGACATTTTGTGTAAAAAGGAAAAAAAGCACAAAATATTTGCTCACATCTCCTCCAAGAGAACATGTTTCAAAGTTTAAAATGCAAATACACTCCCCTTCGTATTATCTAAAAAACACTACTGAATAATAAATTCAGTATTTTTTTTTTCAGATCTATTAAGTCAGAGTAGATCAATTTAGTCTTAAACTTACTTTAAATTTGGTTCGAAGAGGAGGTTAAGTTTTACTGTGCAAATACTGGAAAGAATCTGTAATTCTACAAACTTTTTCCAAAGCAGTTTTCATTTTCATTTGAGTAACAACTTGTCACTTCATGTCTAGATTATTCTCAAAGGCATCTGTGGCAACCTTGTTTGAAGGATGTTTTATCTGAAGTACTGTTTCATAAAATCTAGTTTCACATAGATTTTTGTTTACACCTAGCTATGACAACTGTGTGATCCCATGACTGCTCTCTGCCTGTTTTCCTGTTAGCCAAAGGAATGCTAATTGTGCTTCAAATGAAGAATTTAAGTTCCTGGGTACCAATGCAGTGCTTCACACTGTATGACAGTGTATGACACTGTATGACATAGTATGACAGAACTACAGTAAAGTGTCACAACAGAGTAAGTGTGCAGAGAAAAGGCAGCAGGTTAGATCTACAGAACTTAGTGGGACCAGTTGCCTCTCTGACCCACAGAATTCAAGTGCTACATTTAGCACACACTCAGGTAAGCCCTTCAGACTTTCTCTATGGTGACACAAGCACATTCTCTGAAGGGCAGACTGTATTTCCATCAGTTTTTGTGCTGTGGCACACTCACTTGGCTTCTAGCAGGCTAGTTCACACAAGCTCAATGCTTGCACTGACTTGTCCTAAATGAAGGCTTTGCTCTGGAGGTGACCCACCCCATGCTGGCTAAAAGCACTGGCAGAACTGCTCAAGCAGCACATGGGTCTTCACATAGCTTGTGAGATTTCTTGTGCAAAATTTTGACTTAAGAGAGACAGTAACTACTGAGAAACACAAATTTATGACTAAAGTTCAAAAACCAACCTCGGGGTGAGATCTGCATTTCTCCAAGGCATCTCCATAGATCTTATTTGGACTAGAAGAAGAGAATAGCTCTTTAAAAATGACGTAGAACAAACCACCTGTAACAGAAACAACAGCAGATGGAATGAAAACTTATCAAACCAGATGGAATTAATGAAAAGTGTCTTCTGATAAAGAATGTAATTTAAAAAAATAACCTGTAACACCAATTCCAACAAGCACCACAATAAAATAGGTAAAGTCTCTTCCAGCTTCTTTCACTGAAATTAAACAGAAAACAACACATAAGTTACAACCTTGGATAATAACACTTGTATGACTTTCTTACATAAATGCTCTTCTGTTAGCCTGTTGCTCAAATAACATTTCAGCAAAAGAAAAAAATCCAGTAAGTTTCCATAACTCCTCATTGCTGTAAAAGAGACCATGGAACATCTCTTATATTGTACAGGGCATGTTCACATCTCTGTGTTAAGCCTTATTATTTTCTGTTTGCCAGATGTTTTCAAGATCCAAAGTAGCAATTACTGCTCCTTTTTCAGCACATGAGAGCTAGGTTCTTTTAGGAACTAATGAGGTATTTAGCACTGTAGCATTCATGCTACCACCTAAATCCACAATCACTGCAATCCTTATGCAAAGAAGTAAAGATAAAAAAGTGAAAGCTCATAACTTGCGCATACTGAAAAGAACTGATTTTATGAATTAGCAATCAATAGAACAATAAAAGGGGAATATTAGACCAAAATACATATTTTATTTATTAATGTAATTAACTGCTGTTTCTCTGATTAGTTTTCAATTTTGATCTAAAGTACAAGTGTCAGTGTACACTGAAAAATAAGTTATATGAGATTCTCTGTTTCAAAATATTTGAGTACTTGGAAAGAGACTACTATCTTTTAGTGATAAGGTGTGCATTTTCAGTGGAGTACGGATTATGGAGGAAATGTTAATAACCATTTATCCTGCAGTCTTCTCAGGAGTTGAAAGTTTTATAAGTAATTTCAAAGTACTTAGATTTTCTGAGGCTAATCATGTAACAATCACTTTTCACTGAAGTGAATGAGACCAACTAAAGTGAAGGTAATCCATAAAGAAATTACCATCACATGTAGAGCTTTGACAATTTTGTTGGAGGTGAACTTATTTCAAAAGGCTTACAGACAGGCTGCACTGTGGTAGGTTTTCCTTATGAAAAGGAAAACGGTAGACTATTACATCTTGTGCCTGACACTTACTTAAATCAACAGTCTGCTTAGAAGAATTCCCATAAATTTGTTCTGATTGTGCAATGCATACACAGAAATATAACAGCCGCTCCAAACAATACAATGTGAAAAGAAACCCGCTTGGTGTGCTTTTTTCCTAGATGCTTGTTGTTTGGAACTACAAACTACAAACCACTCCAAGACTTTAGCTGCAATAGGAACCGTCTCCAGCCCTTCTGAGCAGCCACAGCATCCTCTGCCTTACCTTTCTGTGCCGCCGACACCAGCGTTTCCTCGTTCAGCGCCCTTTGCACGGACACATCTTTGCTATCACCGCCAGGTTTTGCAGCTTTCAGCCCTCCCGTCTGCGTCCCGATGCTCTGACGGGCGGCCCTGAGCAGCAGCGGGGGCTGGTGCCGCCACCTGAGGCAGGAGCAGGACCCGGTGGCGGTGCCGGTGCCCAGGAGCGCCCACCCGCGAGGGGCGAGCAGCCAGCGGCCCAGGCAGCCCCGCCCGAGGGAGGCGGGCAGTGCCCGGGGCAGCACCCCGGCCATGGCTCCTGCCGCCCTCACAGGCGCACGGCCGGGGCAGGCGAGCCGAACGGAGAGTTTGTGCCGCTCGCCACCGCTCCCCCGCGGAACCCTCGGGGAAGTGCCCGGGCAGCCTGCTGCTCCGAGCGGCCGCTGCCCCAGCTCAGAAGCCCACCTGGACCTTTACCGCCGGCGGCCGCCGCTGGCCGCTGCCCCGGCGGAAATGCTTGGGACGGCGGAGCATCGAGCGACGGCAGCAGGTCCTGGGAGCGGTAGTTTGAGCGGGCTCCCTCTCTCGCCCGCCGCCGGGAGCGGCTCCCAGGCAGGTCACTACAGCGCCCACCATGCCCAGCGCCGCCGCCGCCACCGCTACAGACAGCCCTCCGCGGGCGGGGACCCCCGGCTCGTCTCAGGGGGAGGGGAGAAGAGGCTGCTCGCGGCGCCTGCGGTCACCCTTTTAAAGCTGCGTTTTCATATGTGTTTTTCTTGGTCTTGCACACATATATGTGTTAAAGCCATGCAGTTGACATTTCCACGGATGGAGACGGCAAGAGGGATCTGTACAGGCTAAATCGATGGGCCGGGATGGACGGCATGAAGTTCAACAAGGCCAAGTGTCGGGTCCTGCCCACAACCACCCCATGCAGCGCTGGGGGCAGAGTGGCTGGGAAGATGCTGGTGGAAAAGGACCTGGGACTGCTGATCGACGGCGGCTGCACATGAGCCAGTGTGTGCCATGTGGCCAAAGCCAATGGCTTCCTGGCCTGTATTAAAACCAGTGTTGTGAGCAGGACTAGGGAGGTGACTGTCCCACTGCATTTGATTCTGTTGAGGCCACACCTTGAGTACTGTGTTCAGTTTTGACGCCCTCAATTTAAGAAAGACATTGCACTGCTGGAGCGGGTCCAGAGAAGGGCAACGGAGCTGGTAAAAGGGTCTGGAGCACAAGTCTGATGAAGAGTGGCTAAAGAAGCTGGGGATGTTTAGCCTAGAGGAAAGGAGGCTCAGGGGGACTTTATCACTGTACAAATCCCAGAAAGGAGGCTGTGACCCGGTGGGAGTCGGCCTCCGACAAGAGGAAATAGCCTCAAGTTGTACCAAGGGAGGTTTAGGTTGGAAATTAGGAAGGATTTCTTCACAGAAAAGGCGATTAGACATTGGAATGGGCTGCTTAGGGAGATGGTGGAGCCACTGTCTCTGGAGGTGTTTCTAAGGAAAGATTGGAATTGGCACTTAGTCCTGTGGTCGAATTGAAATAGTGGTGTTTGGTCATAGGCTGGATTAAGTAACCTCAGAGGTATTTTCCAGCCTAATTAATTCTGTGATTCTGAGAGCCGGGAGCACAGTGCCCAGGAGCTCGGAGCTCACTGCGGGTTGGGAGCGGCCCGTACGCTCCCGGCGGCAGCACTAGCGACCCCCGGGCCGATAACCCTTCCCACACGGGCGTGTTCCAGCCCCGCCTTCCCCGAGCCGGCGCTCCCGGGCACCGCCTCCCTCGGGCTGGCGCAGTCCCATCCCGCCCCAGGGCTTATCCCTGGCGCTGGCAGCGCTTGTTTCATCCCTCCCCTCCCCGCCGGCGGTGCGAGGCCGCCGCTGTCCCGCGGCAGAGGAGCCATGGCGATGGGCCGTGGCAGGTAATCATGGGCGCGACGAGCGGGGCTCTGGCGGCCCGGGGCTGCCTGCTCGACCTTCTTCACCTTTAACGGGGAAGGTGGTTTGGTGTTTTCCCTCAGTTCCCATTGCTTCTCTGGGAAACTTATTTCACCTGCTCCACGACTTTGGTCTCTAGCTCTCGACTCTTCACGGCGAGGGCTGTGGCCAAGGTGCTCTCCTCTCCCTGCCCCCGGCCCTATGGGCATCTTGCAGTGGGAAACGCTGGTGTTGCTAGGTGCACGGAGGCCTGGGTTTAACACTTCCTTTCTGCCTGGGAAGGGGAGCTTAAACTTCGTTACATCCTTCAGCTAGGAGGAGGTGCTGTAATGAGTAGCCATAAAGTGAGTTACGTAGCTACATAGACTGCTTTATGTGCGTCCAGGGTGGTTAGGCCTTTGTAATAAATAGGAGGGTTTCACTTTGGAAGGTGTGGTTGCCTTAATTCTAACAGTACAAGTTCCGCTTTCAAAGTTTTAAATCTTCAGTCTTACAGGCAAAGTTGAGAAAGCAGATTTTTCTGCTAACATGTTGGTACCACCTTGGGTTTCATAGCAGTTTCATTCCACCAGCTGTTTTTGGTTTTTTTTTTTTCTTTTTTTTAACATGCGAATGGATTAAGATAATATTTACCTTCTAAAACGACTGGCATTGTTAGCTGAGGGACAAAAACCCAACAAACCCATGTCAAACCATTATTGAAACCATTATTGTCATTTTTGTTTATCCCCAGATAAGCTTTAACAGGTGGAGGAGAAAGTTGTTTTGTTTTTTTTTTCACTACTTAAAGCTTTGTGTACATTATTTGAAATTAAATTTGAAACTTTAAAGACAATTGTTTGCTGTCCATCAAAAAACCAAGGCACATGGCAAGTATTACAGGGTGTGAAAGTGAAAATACTGGTACAAAACTGAGCCCCCCAGGTTGAAAGCCAATGAAAATGCAATTGAAGTTTTTATGCCTTATGATCTTCAGTAAGATCATCTCAGTTGTTCTAGAAGTCTCTAAAGAGAGGGTGTAACAACTGTCATTGACTTGTATTTTAGGCTTATCTGCCCAAGCTGTGTCAATGCAATGTAAAAGCATTTTATTAATACTAATTTAAAATCTTAGCACACACAGTAAGTGGAAAGTAATTTATGGATTGGGTTTGTTGGTTGTTTCTTCACACCTAGAGAATATTTTTGTTTTGGAAGATGCAAAAGTTCAGCAGTTCTTTTTTGGGTTTTTTTTTTTTTTAATTGAAAGTTACGAAACAATAGCTATTGCATTAAAGTTTTCAAGGCATGTGTGGGCAAAATGTTTCTTTCCTCAGATATTTCTCCCTGGAGTGAACAAGAGGGGCGATGATTAAAGTGAGCAAGAAGGACTGGATACAGGCTATGCAGGTTATGCTTGTCCAAGGCTTTAAAATCCAGAATCTTATTTGAATTATTATTTTGCCTGGAGTCTGTGGAGTTGTGTCCCTATTGAGTATGCCCAAATTCTCTGCTTTCAGCATGGATTCAGGGCAGAATAGCCTGGGATATGCTGCCCTGGAACATACATAAGTGGTAGCTCTGCTGCTGTTGAACACAACCTGTGTGTCTAAATCCCTTTAATGGCAGTTTGTTAGTGCTTCATCATCTAAGCGTTCTGGATAATGATACATGAGTAAAACCCTTGTTTGGTCTTGGCTGTATTTATTTTAAGACTACTTTAATTAAATTTTATTTTAGTTGGTCTATCCACCAACTATTAGTTGACACCCAAGCGGAAATGTGCATATCTTTTTGTTAAGCTTATAACAATTCTCAGTAAAATGTCTTGGATTTTATTTATATTTTTTTTTGTTACATAGCACAGTTTACAATGTAGACCAGAGATGTTAATTTCTTTTGATTTTATTTTTCTTTGAGCATAAATGAATCTTAAATCAAGAACAGTAGGCATTAAATGTATATGGTACCCATACATTTCAAAATTAGCTGTTTTCCCCCCATATGAATTGGTTGCCTAGAAACCCAGAGCTGGTTTAAATAGGTGTTGGAAATCTGCTAGCAATTTAAAACATCAGTAATGCAGTGAATGAGGAGCTCTGCCTGCTTGGTGGCATCAATGGGTATGAAGTGTAACTATTTAAGATTGAAACTCTGTCTCCATATTTCTCTGTGGATTAATGATAGTATTTGTTTGCAATTACAGTTTACAAAGTCCTTCCTATCAGAAAACCTGAAAAAATGTGAGTGGTTGGATTGTTAGAATTTGTGTTAGAAATATGGAAAGTTCTTTTCTGTCTAAATTGTGATGTGGAAATGTTGCCAAAATAGCTTCTTTTCACCATGGTGTGCAAGAGGCCAGTCTAGACACAGAGTTCAGGTATTTGATATATTTGCAGTTCTGCAAAGAAGGGGGTGCTGGGTTGCAAATCTACAAAGCCAGCACACCAGCTGTCAAAACTTTTTACTATTTTATACTTTTTAGCAAAGGAAGGAATTAGTTTTTATTGGGTACAAGTTACATAATTCTCTTATTGATTGCTTTTCTACTGGTCTCTTGCTTCTCATGCTAATTAGTTTGCATGCTCAGTCTTTCTCTTTTTTGAGTCAATGAGTTTCTTGGGTCAGTGATTGCAGTCTCACACTTCTGGAGCTGGAGCTGATTTCGGCACAATTGCTGAGTTTGCTTTAATAGTTTCTTCCTTATCTTGGGAGTTATTCCAGGTATCCTTGTGGTTTGTAAATTCTGCATTCTTTGTGTCCACTATCAGGGACCATCCTTCTTCGCATGCTTTGTTAACCTCCCCCAGGTCTGAAATAATTGAAGCATGTCAAGTCCTAAACCTTAACAAAGCAATTCTACCAACAAGAAATTTGTCTGTCTAACACCAGGACATCTCTTAGAGCTTGTTAGCTGCTCTTTGTTTCTTGGATTAAATCTCCTTTCTTGCCGTTTATGCTTGAAAGTATACAAATCCTTTTTGAACCTCAGTTTCTGAGGAAGTTTCAAGGTATTTTATTTATCTAGTATCTTAGTAAAGTTGGGTGGCTCAAAAATATATCTAGAGTAATTTTGTGAAACAGAAGATTAATTGGCGAGTTTGACTTGCTACAGGGGCCTCAGTGGAGCTTGGTTGTGGTGGCCGCAGTGGTGCAGCTGTCTAAGGGTAATAGAGTTCTACTGGATTCAAAGTGATTTGGGGGAGCAACACTGTTCCCTTTGCCTGCTGTGAGAGATCAATCGCAGGATTGACAGCTCTGAGTTTAAATTTGAATCTTCTTAATGCCAGGTATTTTAACTTGGGTGTAATTGTTCAAATCAAAATGATTGCCATGTGATGTATTCCCTGCATTCTGCCTTAATTGAAATGTTGTGTCTAGGTGTGCACAATATGTGTATTTCTTCATTTTCTGAATATGTGACTCTTAACAGCTTGTCCTTCTTACAAGTAGGTTAAGGACCTTTGCTGCCCAGCCTGGGGAATGTTCTGAAACTGTGAATGCTGGAATTCAAAGTCTGTATTTGACACCTCCCATAAGACCGAAACAAAATGTGTG